TTTCTAGAAGATCAACAAGATGTGATGATGATGATGATGATGATGATGATGATATATTGGTACATTTGTATGTGTCGATGTTTTCTTCAAATCTTGCGAAATATACAACAAATTTAAAAAAAAAAAAAAAACCTCGCTTCAGTGCAAACATGGATCAGGCTGTTCAAAATGTGCACTTTCTTGACCAACTTGCGCTCGTTTTTAGGCAGTGCCTACTTCATATTGTTTTCTTATTTAGCGTTGCTACTATTCAATATTGCCAGCCTGTTCTGTGTAATTAGTGTATAACTCTTGGAGTTGTCTCTCTTTAGCTGTCAAAAGTATTTCGGAATACCTTGGATGTGTTTAGTAAAATCAAATATTCCGAGTAGAGTTGTTTACCATGGATATGATGGATCATATTTCGAAATTTCCAACGTTTTGAAGAAGTCCAGCAAAAGCAGGTATGGACTTAATCTTTTAAAATCTTTTTTTTACAGTTTTTATAGAGCCACCTTTTTGTCAGCGCGACACAACAATTAACGTGTAATTTCCAAACGGTAGCGATAGTTAAGAAGTTGCCCCAAGCAGGGACGTACTCCAACAATGTTAGAGGTTTACACGGCGAGATACTTTTGACTGGCGTCGCAGATCCGCCAATGTAATCAGGCGGACTAAGACCTCTTATAGGTATAGGAGTAGCAGGGACGTAGATCTACGTCGCTGCCCAAGGATATGGAAAATATGTTGCTTCGTCAGATACAGTAAAAAACTTCTATAGATCGAAAAGTTGTTACAAATTTAATTTAAAACATGTGGATGAAAACTTTGTTTATAAAGAGCTGTGTAAATTGAATACATCTAAATCTTAATTGTTTGCCTGCTAGATTTCTCAGAGACGCTGCCCCAATTATTAAAATTCACCTCACTTATTAATGTGTCAATTTCAGAGGGTATTATTCCAGATGAATTAAAAATAGCCAAAGTTAAACCACTTTTAAAAAAAAAAAGATAGACTTAATGCCGAAAACTACAGACCTGTTAGTATTCTAAGTTTAGTATCAAAAATCCTTGAACGCGCTGTGTATAGCCAATTAGAAACTTTCTTGGTAAGAAATAATTTACTTTATGAACTTCAGTCCGCTTTCAGAAGCAAATATTCTACTGACACATGTTTAATACATATGTTAGACCTTAACAAATCTCAGTTTTCCAAAGGTTTGTTTACAGGTATGGTATTGCTCGACTTGCATAAAGCCTTTGATACAGTTGACCACAATATTTTATGTGATAAGCTCTCTGTTCTTGGAGTGGAATAACTAAAATGGTTTAGATGCTATCTCTTGGGACAGAAACAAATTGTAAATATTAATGAAGTATGTATCATCCGAGTCATGTAACATAAAATGTGGGGTACCTCAGGGAAGTTTGTTAGGTCCTCTTCTGTTCTTGATACATGTCAATAATATGCAAGTCTGCATTGATTCTAACTGCATGTTGATGTTGTATGCAGACAATTCTGCTAAACTTTTTTCCCATCTAAACCCAGCAGTAATATCGCAAAAAATGTCTTTGGTGTTAGAGTCCTGTCAAGAATGGTTAGTGGATAACAAGCTTTCTCTACATTTAGGTAAAACCGAAAGTATTATTTTTGGCCCTAAAAGGAAATTGGATAAAGCTACAAATATGAATTTTAAAATATTGTGCAATAATCGTGATATTGAAGCTATGAAGTGTATAAAATATCTTGGTATAGACATTAACAATTTGCTATCAAGCGAAGAAAGATTTTGAATGTTCAAAATAGGCACAATATAAGATGCAGTGATTTTTAGCATACAAACATGTTAGACATTAATTATAGGGTCAGTCAAATCAGACTGAATCATACATGTATGTTTAATGTTTTCCATGAAAAGGCTCCAAACTATATGTATAATTCCTTTAACAAGAATCCATGTCTACAAAATAATCGATTCTCAGCATATAATTTCAGTCTCCCATCAGAACAAGGTAAAGAATCTACAACATTCTACTTTACAGGCGCAAAAGAATGGAATTCTCTTCCAGATTATATTAAAAGTACATCACACAAGCTTAAGTTCAAAACCCAAGTGAAATGTCACTTTCAAAACAAAATGCAAGAGAAACATGATAGTTATTATGTATATTATTGATGGAAATCCATTTGTAAATCCATTTTAAGGACCCCAATGGAAATAAGCATTTAACACGTTTTTGGGAAATCCTAGGATATATATACTTTTGTCTTTATTAATAATTATAACTAGCTGATACATTAAAGATATAGCTAACAATTATTCCTGATTATGTATAACATGTGCCGTATCTTGATATCTTTTGTATACAAATCTGTACATATTTATCCCGAATAAATTTATTATTATCATTAGATACGTAATTATATATAGATAATAATTTCAAATATACATAATTACATACCAGGAACGACTGTCCTTTTGCTCATCAACTCTATCGATACCAAGCTTCACAAGTATACCTACTTAGCAGTAGGTATAATATATGAGAAAAGAACATGACTGACGTCTCCAGACGACAATAGTAATGCGAAGACCCATGACCAAGGGGCCCACTTCTTGTATTTATGAAGTGCTAAGGTGGCGGGAAATACATGTGAAGTGTCCGTACAGTGTAGTCGCCTGTCGATTGGTCAGTTGTGCAGTGTTCAGTCAATGGTGCACCCACAGACATTTGAGAAACAAAGCATAGACAAATACATGTAACACAGTGCTTGGTGTCACACAGGGTTACATGTACAGGTATAACATGTAACACAATAGTATGGGGCTACATACAGTGTGTAGGATTTATGCAGAGCCACCTACTTGTCAAGGACACACAACAATTTAGGTGTAATTTTTGAGCTTTTTCGGTTTGTTCAGTAAACTCCTAGATACAATGTAATCTAAACTTGTGCTGGAAATGGGTTGGATCATGACAGTTGCACACACCTATAAGCTTAACAATGTGTACAGATAACATAATTTTTAAAAGAACTTGTCACATGCTACTTTATCCTGGGTAGTCTCGTCACATGCTACTTTATCCTGGACAGTCTCGTCACATGCTACTTTATCCAGGTTAGTCTCATCACATGCTATTTTATCCTGGGTAGTCTCGTCACATGTTATTTTATCCTGGATAGTCTCGTCACATGCTACTTTATCCTGGGTAGTCTCGTCACATGCTACTTTATCCTGGTTAGTCTCATCACATGCTACTTTATCCTGGGTAGTCATGTCACATGCTACTTTATCCTGGATAGTCTCATCACATGCTACTTTATCCTGGATAGTCTCGTCACATGCTACTTTATCCTGGGTAGTCATGTCACATGCTACTTTATCCTGGATAGTCTCATCACATGCTACTTTATCCTGGATAGTCTCGTCACATGCTACTTTATCCTGGGTTGTCTCGTCACATGCTACTTTATCCTTGGTAGTCTCGTCACATGCTACTTTATCCTGGATAGTCTCATCACATGCTACTTTATCCTGGATAGTCTCATCACATGCTACTTTATCCTGGTTAGTTTCGTCACCTGGGTTGTCTCATCACATGCTACTTTATCCTGGTTTGTCTCGTCACATGCTACTTTATCCTGGATAGTCTCATCACATGCTACTTTATCCTGGGTAGTCATGTCACATGCTACTTTATCCTGGGTAGTCTCGTCACATGCTACTTTATCCTGGATAGTCTCATCACATGCTACTTTATCCTGGATAGTCTCGTCACATGCTACTTTATCCTGGGTAGTCTTGTCACATGCTACTTTATCCAGGTTAGTCTCGTCACATGTTATTTTATCCTGGGTAGTCTCATCACATGTTATTTTATCCTGGATAGTCTCATCACATGCTACTTTATCCTTGATAGTCTCGTCACATGCTACTTTTATCCTGGGTAGTCTCGTCACACTGATCTTTTCACTTTACCCTAGACAGCTTCAACACCGAACATTTTACAATGGACAGCCTCAACACAGAACATTTTACACAGGACAGCCTCAACACTGAACATAACATCGAACATTTTACTTGTCAAAGCCTCAACAACCAACATAACATCAAACATTTTACTCGTCAAAGCCTCAACAACCAACATAACATCAAACATTTTACTCGTCAAAGCCTCAACAACCAACATAACATCAAACATTTTACTCGTCAAAGCCTCAATAACCAACATAACACCAAACATTTCACACAGGACAGCCTCAACAACCAACATAACATCAAACATTTTACTCGTCAAAGCCTCAACAACCAACATAACACCAAACATTTCACACAGGACAGCCTCAACAACCAACATAACATCAAACATTTTACTCGTCAAAGCCTCAACAACCAACATAACATCAAACATTTTACTCGTCAAAGCCTCAACAACCAACATAACATCAAACATTTTACTCGTCAAAGCCTCAACAACCAACATAACACCAAACATTTCACACAGGACAGCCTCAACAACCAACATAACATCAAACATTTTACTCGTCAAAGCCTCAACAACCAACATAACATCAAACATTTTACTCGTCAAAGCCTCAACAACCAACATAACACCAAACATTTCACACAGGACAGCCTCAACAACCAACATAACACCAAACATTTCACACAGGACAGCCTCAACAACCAACATTTCACACAGGACAGCCTCAACACATTTGACACTAGACAGCCTCAATACAGAACACCTTACCTTGGACAGCCTCAATTTGAATTTATCATTTGGACGAATAAGTACCATAACACTTTACACTGGACAGTCTCAACACAGGACACTTTATACTGGACAGTCTCAACACAGGACACTTTACACTGGACAGTATCAACACAGGACACTTTATACTGGACAGTCTCAACACAGGACACTTTATACTGGATAGTCTCAACACAGAACACTTTACACTGGACAGTCTAAACACAGGAACACAGGACACTCAACACAGGACACTTTATACTCTCAACACAGGACACATTATACTGGACAGTTATACTGGACAGTCTCAACACAGGACACTTTATACTGGACAGTCTAAACACATGACACATTATACTGGACAGTATCAACACAGGAAACTTTACACAGGACAGACTCAACACAGGACACTTTATACTGGACAGTCTCAACACTGGACACTTTACACTGGACAGTCTCAACACAGGACACTTGATACTGTCCAGTCTAAACACACGACACTTGATACTGGACAGACTCAACACAGGACACTTTATACTGGACAGTCTCAACACAGGACACTTTATACTGGACAGTCTCAACACAGGACACTTTATACTGGACAGTCTCAACACAGGACACTTTATACTGGATAGTCTCAACACAGGACACATTACACTGGACAGTATCAACACAGGACACTTTACACTGGACAGTCCCAACACAG